AACATGAACCCCTCTGGTTCCGGGTGGTGAACACGAACCCCTCTGGTTCCGGGGGACCCTCTCGCAGGGTGAACATGAACCCCTCTGGTTCCGGGGGACCCTCTCACAGGGTGAACACGAACCCCTCTCCTGTGCTGCTGCAGGAGATTTGGCTCAAAGACCTGACCTAGACCTGAGCCCGGGAGAGATGACACCACAGACCCTCACTGCCTGTGGACAGAGCTTGCCCAAAGAGTCGGTGTGAGATGTGAGACACCCCTGCAAATGCCGAAACCCTGAGAAGCAGCACCCTTGGATTTAGGGCAAACTAGAAATAAAGCCAATCTCTCTTTTTCTAGAGAATCTCAGGAAAACTGCTTAGATTCTAAGGGGAAGGAGAAAGAGAAACCCTCTAGACCAGAGACAGTAAGTTCTGCAGGCCAGGTCACCAAATTAAACTCAGGCTAGGAATTTAATCTGAAGTGGTTCTGGGCTGGTCAGACCCCCGGGCACTGGGCACACAGCAGCACCAAGGGACATAACCATTTCCTATGCGCAAAGCCCAGACACAGCACTGTACTTCACAACACTATGACTCGAAGCTGTGGAACAACGAAGAGCTTCTGTGCTCCCCTCACCTTCCAAAGACGATACTTCAGACAAGCAGAGTCGGGCAGTCACCGGGAGCCCGGCAGTGCTCGGGTACTCAGCCCCACGGCCATTTCCCGGTCCTGCAATTCCTTGTTTTCCTGACCAACGCGGCAGACACAAAGGAACTCATGCTGTACGACTCAATTAGCATAAAAGTCAAAAGCAAACAACCATAATGCCCAAGGGCACTGGCAGGGCGGTGAGACCCACATGGCTGGTGTTCCTGGGGGGCTGCATCCAGGTGTCTGGGGAGCCAGCAAGGCTGCATCTCATGGGGCCCGAATGCCAGGGCCACAATATAATGATTTGTTAACTGGATGTTTATATTTTAAGGACTTTTCCGTATGCACAATGCAACCACATATTTTTTAAAATTTTAATGTTTAAATAAGAAAGCCAAAGAGAACACAGTCTTTTTCAAAGGACTGCCAAGCTAATTTCTCAAAAGGAAGAATGGAAATAAGAAGACAGTGGCATCACCCCTTACACCACCTGAGGAAAACCACCAGCAATCTGGAATTCCAGGCCCAGGAGGAACAGCTTCAAGAAGCCTCCACAGCCAGCAGTGAGCATGGAGAACAGGCTCAGCACACCCCACCCTCATGGGCTCCACACGGCCCACCCTTAGGGGCTCAGCACAGCACACATTCATGGCCTGGCCCAGTTCCCGGGGCCGCTGGGGCAGCGCTCATACAGCCCTTGTTCCTGTCTGGGCCTGCCCCCCACGTGGCAGCGCGCA